AGCAGGAAGACCGCAGGTCGCCGGTAAACACGGGGAACACTTGGGGTGACAGAGAGTACGACACTCTGACCGAGAGAAAAGAAGATAAAGAGTACACAGAGAAAATTGAGAGAGAGAGAGAGAGAGAGAGAGAGAGAGAGAGAGAGAGAGAGACAAGAGAAGACAAAATGAACACATTCTCTACTAGTCATTTCTTAATTTATGGGCCACACAGAACACTTTTGTGGGAAGTGAAATAAAAAAAAACAGGGTCTTCATATGTGTGTGTGCATCTTTTAATTTTTAGATGCAATTTTAGGTGCAACAGACACAAACAGTGCATGTTTACTTGGAGAAACAATGGAAAAGCATCACAAAAATGAGTTCTATGTGAAGAGGCCCCTATTAAATTACTGTGTCTCTACAATGCCATTCAAAAAATTGTAGTAAGCTTTTTTGAAGAAATTAATACTCTTATTCATCGCAGATGGATTCAATTTATCAAAAGTCACAGTAAAGACATTTATAATGTTGCAAAAGATTTCTATTTAAAATAAATGCTGTTCTTTTGAACTTTCTATTCATCTGTGAATCCTGAAAAATAAAATGTATTCCACAAAAATATTGTGCAGCACAACTGTTTTCAAAATTGATGATAATCAGAAATGTTTCTTGAGCAGCAAATCAGCATATTAGAATGATTTCTGAAGATCATGAGACACTGAAGACTGGAGTAATGATGCTGAAAATACAGCTGCGCATCACAGAAATAAATTACAGTTTAACAGATTTTAACATCATCACAGAAATACATTACAGTTTAACAGAGATTAACATAGAAAACAGCTGTTTTAAATTATAATATTTCACAATTTTTACTGTATTTTTGATCAAATAAATGCAGTCTTGGTGAGAAGAAGAGACTTTTGAATGGTAGTGTATGTAACCATATTATTGGTGAGCAATAATAGTATATGTAACCATATTATTGGTTAGCTCACTTCTCAGAAGTGCAAAAAAATCTAAATATTGAAAAAATCATCTTTAAAGTTGTCCAAATTAAGTTCTTAGCAATGCATATT